CAATAGTAGTACCAGTAGCAGTACCATGACTAGTACGAGCACCAGCACCAGAATCAGTGCTGTACTGCGTCTGCTAGTGCTACTGCTGCAGTGTTCGGTGTGCCCTATAGCCATACTGTCTACGTCATGTATACAGGCATGCATGCACCTGTATGATAGGGCCTTCCAGCACACGGTATGCAGCCTCCTGAATTAGTCGAAGCCAGAAAAGTCCTTTCTATAAAAACTGTGGTCCCGCAAGCTAGAGGCTTGCTTGCACCCTAAACCGTCGACCCCAGTGAGACCACCCAAGGAACCAGATGGATTCTTCAAAGCTTTCGTCGGAGGGCCCGTGGAAGGTCAGCTCTTATCACAGTGTCCTGTCACCACGCAGCCTTTGCCCATCGCGGCAACAGGGTGGCTTGAGTCTGCAGATGGGCAAAGGATTCAGTCTCGGTGATAGGATCCAGAGAAAATAGAAAGTCAGGGGCGGAAATCGGGAACCTAACTCGCTTTGGCCCAGGGTCCCCATACCCGGCTTCAGCCTTCCTTTCAGACGCTTAGTGGAAGGTGACAAGTCTGTGATTGCAGCAGACGGTCGCGACAGACATTCCCGTTCATGGCAACTGACGTTCCTTCACTTTGCTCGGCATGTTTGACCTTGATTGAACAGACGGCGATTTTGGTGCAATCTTTGTGCACTGCACCTTTGGCCCTTCGCAGGGCATCGCCAGCTCCACGAGATACTCTCTTACTGTCAAGCCTGAATAACCCAGAAGCCGACAGATGCCCTTCCTTGCTCACAGGCCCTGGTGGTGTTCTTCATGCAGATTATGCCCCTTCTGCTGGTCGCGGGGGGGGGGGGGGGGGNNGGTCGCGGGGGGGGGGGAGGGTACTGATGAAAGTACGCTCATCTCTATCTTTGGTCCTTGGCGAAAGTGGCAGAGGTCGTGTTCAAAATCACAGATTGAGAAGGGTTGCAGCCCTACACGAAGACGTATACCGTAATTGACCGGATGGCATATCTTATGAGGCAGCAAGAACAGCTATCAGCTATCATAAAGATGAACGCATACATAAGCGCGTGTACAGCTCACAGTAGAGATGGTGAGCGCACACAATCATCACTGTTTACGTTGTTTTTGCGCTTGTGCACAAACTTTCGACATGCTCCTTGGACAGCAATGAGCGGGCCGCCACAACACACCCATTCACTTTCAAACGGCGTGACTCTTAAATCCTTGTGGTTCTTCCCTGCAGTGTTTGCTTGTCAACTTTCGTGCTTCTTATGTGAAATCTGTGACAACCATTGTTTCACTTGAATAGCGACGTCTATTGACATGATGCTGTCGTCGGCTATTGCCATGCCATTACTTCATGTATCGCTTCTTCGGCATGACATGGCATACGTCATACGTCTTGCTGCTGTATGCGCACCTTAAGTCGCTTCCAATAGAATTTCGATGGCACGGGTTGCTGCATTATCCACCTGCCACCGATTCGGGAGTCTGTGGAAGGCGCCAACGATCGCAATCTCCTCCAGCCGGATAGTTCGCTGGTGCAACCTGCGTTGCATGAGCCGCCCACGTCGATAGATGGAGCTTTAGTCGGAGGCTGTGCAGGATGCATGTTGCAGAGGGTTGTGTGGTGTGTGTTAGAGGCTGCACTTCTTTGCCCAAGATTCAAGACGGATGTTATACGTCATACAGTGAGTTGCATTTCGGGCTTCTTTGTTTGCGAAAGCACCACCTGGGTCGATAGTGGCGGGTGCGGAAAGCTGAACAACGCCGTTACCTCAGCACATGTGCTAACTAGATCAAAGAAGCCTTCCCTCGTCCGTCGACCTGCCACTGCGGAGAACAAATAATCTTCGGTTTGTTGCCAAGGTACCCAGCGGTTCCCAAAGTCCCCAAACTGTCGACACTGAGGCATCAACTGGCACTCTGCCAAGAGGAGCTGCGACATGAAGTCGAAGGAGGCCCACCCCTCCTGCGCGCGTTGTGGATGCAGGGTCTGGCTGTGAGTCTCGGTTCTGCCCCTTCAGCATCCCCGAATCCCGTCACCTGCAATGTCAAGCAGTTCGAAAGCTTCACATTGCAGATCTTCAGAGGGCCCGGCGCTGAACACGGCTTACCTACTCCTGCTTAGTAGAAAGCATAATCGGTAGGATCTGTTCTGTGCAAAGTTTGGACTGGCAACTTTTTCCTGAGAACTGCATGTACGATAAGCCAGACCGATTTTGCACCATGCATAGTTGTCATGTCTGGCCTGTGGATCTGCGATGATCTACCGTAACACATGCTGTGTCACGTTTTGGGGTTCAAGCCTCGGTGTGCAACAAAGTCAACAGTTTGCACACACACACACCCAATGCAGACATGGCTTTGCAGTCATACAACCCCAGCCCTGCTGCTGCTGCTGCTCGTGCTTCGGCCAGTGATGCTGGTGTTGCCCCTCCTCCTCCTCGTGCGTTCTGAGTCTCCTGCTGCTCGTGGCAGCAGTAGCAGTAGCGTTGCATTGCATTGCAAGCGTCGCGCAGATCCGAGTGCTTGACGAGGGAAGGCAGTGGCATGCAAGCCACCGGCCGTTCAGTGACGGTGACATCAACTTTGATGCCCCTCAAGGCTTGCTGGCAAACTATGAGAGCTAGTCCAAGGCATCGAGCTCGATCATATCCGCGACTGCTGTCATTGACAGCCCGCCACGTCTCTTTATGCCACTGCTTCCCACTGGTGGGGCTTGAGTCCCGGACGTCGCAGCCTGGCTCCCGTCTGATGCAGTGCTGTTTCGGTTCAACCAGAATCCGTCTGATCCCACCACCACAAAAAAGCTGGCGACATGACAGCACCAGCAGCCTGGCCCACGACTCCCTGGACACGGAGAAACTGCTGCCTATTCGCGCAGTGGTTGGAATGAAGACCGCCCTGGCTTCCCACGCAAAGCACAGCAGGTCGTATGACCCAGTCTTGAGACCCTGTTACAGGCAAGCTCATCGCGTACGGTGATGCTTCCATGTTGCGTCCTCTGCAGAGCTCTGCGATGCCTGCGAGTCTCGGCCACATCACCACCATCGGGTGGTACAAAGCCCGCATCGAGCAAGTGCGCCAGATGCTCGTCTCCCAACCCGGCATAAGCGCCCACGGTATAGGCGACAAGAACGCCTGCTGTTGGACCAAGATGCTGTGCCGCGCATACGGCTTCGCCCATTCAGCAAAACTGTTTGCGCCGCTGTCTCGTACAACGCGCCACGGTAGTGAACACCTCCAGATGCATCCAGTCACCACCGGCATTATCCTGAACCCACAGCCCACCACCAGAGTGGTGGGCAAGGCCTAAGAGCAGGCTTCGTCCGGGTGCGTTGTGGCGGTTCTGATGCATGGCTGTCCCGTTGTCCATGTTCACACTCAAAGATGTCAATTTGTGCGACCCCAGGGTACTGAAGACAGCCGCGTGCAGCAAGTGGCCCGTAGCATGTGATTCCACGACTGTTTCGAGACGCCGAGTATCCCAGCTTTGCAAAAGAGCCCGAGTCTAGTACTAGTGCTGCTACTACTACTACTACTACTACTACTACTACTACTACGACTACTACTACTACTACTACTACTACTACTACTACTGCTACTGCTACTGCTACTGCTATATATCGTTGTGACTACCGCTTCCACCCCTGCTGCCTACGACAGCTTCGCTCCTGTTCCTGCTACTGCTACCGCCATCAGTACCACTGTGTTACCAAAGTTACTAACTTCCAGTGCTACTATTGCTACTCCCACACTCCCGCCACCACCACCACCACCACCTGCTATTTACTACTTGCTATCACAAAAGTACCCACTAGCAGGTCAACAGGAACCTGGAGCGGTTCTTGCAGGTCAAGAGGCACGGATGTGCTCGTGGGTCCCGCTCAGTCTTCGAAGATTGAGATGGAGGGGGTACAGGGTCGATATCAGGCTGATTACCTCATCTCACCAAGATCCTGCTGTGTCGCAGGGTGGAAACCACGTATTCACTGGTGGACTATATCAGCTTCCTGCACCTGGGCTTCAGAGATTTCCTCGCGAAGCGTAGAAGCCTGGATAGTTGCTGACATGATACCAACTGTAACCCCGTTATGAAATTCGGTTCTGATTCGGATTGGCGTTGCTATGTCTTCTATCAGGGTTTCTTTGATATCGATGTTGCTAATGTCCTGATATCCGAAATCCCTGTAGGCCGATAATCGAGCTACATCAGGCTCTCTTGCAGCGTCCTTATTGCAAGAGTGACGAGGCACATTGACGAATGTTCTTGGAGTCCCCAAAATGAACACTAATGTGGAGAACTACCCATGCAGCTTATACAAGCGATTAGTTTCTGAGGTCCGCATGACTGGACATTGCAATCAAGTTGGTAGAGCTTTTGTCAGGCTTGTTGCGGAGATGAATATGAGAGATTGTTTCATGATCGGCAAGGCAGATTCAGGCCTCGGTCGATAGTGTAGGATTCGGATGTCAGGTTCGGCCGAGCAAGTCGTCAGACGGGTGAGGGTCAGAGCATTGCCGAGGTGCTTCACGCACACCATGATCGTGTGGCTGAAGGTGACCCCCCGCGACATGCCGGTTGACGGTGACGACACAACTAAGTCCGAGAGTGAACAAGACCAGTAGCAGCATGTTGACCATTGTCTCAATGTCCTGGGCAAGTGAGCAAGACACTCAGCGGTAAGACAAGAAGACTCGATCCTACGTTGAATGCAAAGAATCCCGGAATCATGAAAGTCTTGAAGGTATGTACTGATTCTCCAAAAGTTCAAACCGCACAATCTTGCCTTCTCATTCCTTTGCAGGGAAGATCCCTGCGACCCGACGAGATTTTCCCATGTCTACAGTAAACAAAGATGGACCTGCATATACGCGACTCAAGCCTCAACCCTGTCGTCAAAGCTTCTTGCTTTCATCCATTGGGGCAGAAGACGTGGTTTTGGGGTTTCCTTCGTCGCAGATTGTGCGGTTGCACTGGGAGGCTGTGCATTTCGGCATGGCGTCACTGCCCACCTTCGAAGCCATCTCTGCACCTAGGAAAGGTGTCCTGATGTTGTCGGTTTCGGATGTTAACGGAATATGGAAACAACGCCGAGCTCTGCATGGGGTGCTGAGAGTATTCATAGTGCATGCTGCGCCGTGTTGACCTGTGCTTTGGGTGTTGGTGGCTTGAGCCTCTGCCTTTCCATGGTGTTTGTTACTTGGGACTACAAAGTAGTCGCAGAAGCCTGGGGCTGATGAGTTCGGGCTTTAGAGCTCTATACAGCAAGAGTCAAAGGGCTGTATGCAGTTGGAGTTTTCTTGACATCCGAGGATCTCCACATCGTTCCTACAAGCGCAAGCTTTATGCTGCTGGTTGCCCTGTTCCAAAGTGGCTTCGTCCCCCGCAGCACTGGGAGTGCCACTGTGCTTGCTGCCTGCTACCATATCCTCCTGCTCCACAACCAGTACGAAATCAATGTTTTAGGCGTCGTGGACCGCGACACATTGCTTCTAGGCTGCAATAAGAGCAGCTCATACCGTCTCAGGATCGCACTCGTTTTCCTTCTTTCATGTTCTCCAACTTCTATAAGCCATAAGCCCCCAACTAACCCCAAACCTACGTCCTAGGCCCGAACACCGATGCAGCCCTGAGCCATATGTCTGTCTGAGTTCTAAGGATGATCATCATGCGACTCTTCGCAGGTTTTTTGTTCTGCGACCACAGGAAGGCCTGGCTGCTTGCACCCCTGAGCTCAAGACATACAACCGTAAGACCCCGAACAGGTCTAAGGATTTGCGGTGCGCGGTTCAGGGTTTAGGGCTGCAAGACCGACACCTTTTTGTGATGAGATGGAGACATGCACAATGAGCAAATGCACCATCTACACCCCAGCCTTCTAGGATTCTAGGGCCAGAACCCAAGACCCTAACCACTAAACCGCAAAACTTTAAACCCTTCAAGCTCACAACCCCCCAAGATTCCCACAAACTCCCGGCCCTGAGGCAGCTTGCGTGCAAGTCTTCTTTATGATTCTTGCCTGCCCTTGTAGTTTCGGGTCTGCAGGTTTGTTCAGGGTTTCCTTGGTTTGTGAGTCCATCCACCCACCACCCCTCTTTTTTTTTCCCCCCCTCTACAGGGACATGCTGGGCCCGAACCCATCAAAGATCGGGTGGAGGGGGCTTACGGGTGGAAAAGGGTTGGAGGTTTAGAACGGGCTTGGCGGCCCGGGCTGGAAGCCAACGAAGGTAGTATGACATGTCGGATTCGGTATTGAAAACTGGGGTATGTTTACGACGTCACCAAAACACCTTCGCACTTGCACTCCGATTTTGTCCGGCGGTAGCAGCCGCGCTGCACGCCCGGCCGAAGGGAGTGTCAGAGTGCGGTGTTGGATTCGGGGCATACTTCCTCGCTCCCAAGACCGCGATGGAGAAAGACATGTAGTTGGAAGGCCATACGACATGTGAAGTCACGGAGGAGTTTTTGGTTTCTGGTGTCCTGAAGAGCCTCGGGATTTGCGCCGAACCAGGGTTTGGAGTCCTGCTCCGACGTCGTAAACCATCCTGAACATGTCTGTGAAGCGATTGCTGTTGAGGATCATGCAAGCCCCGGTCCCCGCTTTTCGCGGTTCCTCCGCAGAAGAGCTCAACATGTGGTGGGAGCTCAGGCTGCAAACATGTTTTGTCTGCCTCGTTCTGTATCTTGTTGTTTAGTGATTAGTGTTATGTAATGTTATGTCAGATTATACGACATAGCAACAGTAGAGTAGAACAGAGTAGAGTAGAGTGAGGTAACAACAACACAAAACTACTACTACTAACCACCACCACTACTACTACTACTACTACTACTACTATAATACCGAACGCCCTCATACAAAGAAAGGCGGGCCCGAGTGTTTTTCGTCTGAGCGGCCAGGCATTAATGGGCTCAGTAGCTGTTGTGCGTAGAGAAAGCACGCGAACCGGACCTACCACAGAAATAGCGGTGCGTATCACAGTGTCTTCCGTGTGCTCCCTGCAGCAGGACAGCAGGATGTTTTCAACTTAATACGTTGGTCAAGCACCCGCACTGGAAGAAGGTTTCTATCGGAGCTCACGCTGTTTGCCAAACACGATGCATACATACATAGGGCACTCAGTCATGTGTTCATTACTTCTGTCATGGTTATCCGTACTCTCACCAGGACACTTTCTTCGTCGATCGCCCGTGCTTTCTGCAACAGGGTGTCGCAATGTTGGCATAACCTAAACTGAGGACGTGGTGTTGTGGCAGATATTTCGCCAGTTTATCATCGTGGGGCCCATGTGGCTGATGCTTCTCGGCACACGACTGCTTCTGCTGCTTCTGCCATCACTGCTGCCACTACTACTACTAGTACTAGTACTACTACTACTACTACTACTACTACTACTACCCACCCCCCCC